TATTTCATTCAGAGGTACAACCTTCAATGGGACATGTTACATCACCGATTCTCCGCTCAACCTTTTAGGTTTAGATTGGTTCGAAGAACTTGGTCTCGCTGATCTTCCTATTAGCGCTGTCTGCAATCAAGTCCAAACTACTGCTTCTACACAACAGCATACTGAAGACCTTCGAAAACGATTTATTGAATTATTTAAGCCTGGTCTCGGACTTTGTTCCACAACTGAAGCTGTTTTAAAACTGCAGCCAGCAGCTACGCCAGTTTTTCGCCCAAAGCGTCCAGTCCCATACGCATCTTTACCTCTGGTTGACGCTGAACTTCAACGTTTGGAAACTGAAGGTGTCCTAGTACCTGTTTCTTATTCATCATGGGCTGCGCCAATTGTGGTTGTAAAAAAATCCAATGGTTCCATACGCATCTGTGCAGACTTTTCTACAGGACTCAACGCGGCTCTACAACAGCATCACTATCCGCTGCCGATCCCAGATGATTTATTTACTATTTTAAATGGTGGTACCTATTTTGCTAAGCTGGATCTGGCAGATGCTTACCTTCAAATTCCAGTCGCTCTAGAATCCAGAGAGTTGTTGACAATCAACACTCACCGAGGACTTTTTCAGTATACCCGGTTACCCTTCGGTATCAAAACTGCTCCAGCGATCTTCCAGCAGATCATGGACACTATTCTGGCAGATGTTCCTGGTGTTGCTACATACCTTGACGATGTGCTCATTGTCGGCTCAACTGTTGATGAATTGCATACCAGAACCCACTTAGTTCTGCAACGCCTCCAGGATAATGGTTTTCGCCTTCGCCCAGAAAAATGCCAATTCTTCTTACGTTTCGTTAAGTACCTGGGGTTTATCTTTGATGCTTCCGGACGACACCCTGATCCTCAGAATACTTACGCAATCCAACAAATGCCTGCTCCCACTGATGTCTCCTCACTGCGATCATTTTTGGGGATGATTAGCTACTATTCAGCATTTCTTCCATCACTGCATGACGTACGATATCCATTAAATCGTCTGCTAGAAAAGAATGCTACTTGGAATTGGTCAACGCAATGTGAATCAGCTTTTTCAAAACTTAAAGCCATGCTAAGTTCCAATCTTCTGCTAACCCACTACAATCCGAAACTACCCATTGTGGTTGCTGCTGACGCTTCAACACATGGACTGGGTGCCGTAATCTCACATGTCTTTCCCGACGGGTCAGAGAAAGCGGTGATGCACGCTTCGAGAACACTAACACCTGCTGAGAAACGCTACGGCCAGATAGAGAAGGAAGCGTTAGCCCTAATCTTTGCTGTCCGGCGATTCCACAAATTCATTTATGGGCGCCGTTTCACCTTGCTCACAGACCACAAGCCGTTGTTATCAATCTTTGGATCAAAGAAAGGCATTCCTGCCCATTCGGCTAATCGTCTTCAACGTTGGGCGTTGGCGTTATTGGGGTACGACTTCGACATCCAGTATCGACGTTCCGAAGATTTTGGTCAAGCGGATGCACTGTCCAGACTTATCAGTAACCATTCTACCACTGATGAGGACACACTCATAGCCATAGTATCAACCGAAGAGGATTCCGGTGCTACACTATTGGCGAATGCCGTTCGAGCAATGCCTGTTACCGCTGAAGATGTTCGGGAAGCTACCAGAGAAGACCCGATTATCCAAGAAGCGATCACCTATGTTCAGAGCAGATGGCCAGTTAAGCAGCTGAGTGGTGATATGCAACAATTAGCGAATCGTCGCAGCGCTCTCTGTATTGTTAACGATTGTCTGATGTTCGGTGATCGCGTAGTAATTCCAACAACCCTACGTTCCAAAGTCCTACGCCAATTCCACTCTGGACACCCAGGGATAAACCGTATGAAATCCATCGCTCGAAGCTATGCATATTGGCCAAATATGGACAAACAGATTGTCGACTTCGTCAAAAGATGTTCACATTGCCAAAAAGCTGCGAAAAATCCTCCTAAGTTGCCTCCAGTACCCTGGCCGAAGTCAGAAAAACCCTGGTCGCGAGTGCATATTGACTTCACCGGACCCCTAGATGGTACCACATATCTGATACTGGTTGACTCATACTCCAAATGGCCGGAGATATTGCCGATTGCGCCACCCTCTACAACTCGAACCATCAAACTCCTTAATCGGATCTTCGCTCAGCATGGTCTTCCAGAAACAATAGTAACAGACAATGGTTCACAATTCACATCTAGCCAATTCCGAGAATTTTGCCTGCAAAATTCGATCAACCATGTTCGTTCTCCGCCATATCACCCGCAATCTAATGGACAAGCTGAAAGGTTCGTTGATACATTTAAACGAGCCATGCTTAAAGCACGAGGGGAGGGGACCACAGAAGATATCATAGAACGATTTCTAGTTGCGTACCGGACGACCCCGCATGACTTACTGCCAAACTCCAAATCCCCTGCTGAGATGCTTATGGGGCGAAAGCTACGGACAGTTCATGGTGCGATGAAACCCAAGCAAGTGGCCCAGCAAAGCCCCCAGATGAAGAATACTCGAATTCCCTACGAAGTTGGTACAAAAGTGTATGCGCGAGATTATAGACATGGATGTGATAAATGGGTAGAGGGTGAAATCACACAAAAACATGGGAACGTCATGTATGATGTCAAGGTGAACCAAGAAATCTGGACCAGGCACCACAATCAACTCAGGTCAAGGGAAGCGAAGGAGAAAGAAGCAATTACAAAACACGTCCCACTCGACTTGCTGTTGGACACGTTTCAACTTCCGCCAATACCTCCAACAGAGACGACTAAGTCATCTACTCAAGTAGAACATCCTTCTGGTTCTGTGTGGTTGCCTCGGAGGTCGAATCGCAAAAGAAGACACCCAAAGAAACTTCAAGTAAACCCTCGGTTACGTCGCTATTAACTTCTCCAAAGGGGAGGTGTTGGGATACTCAGAAGAATATCCCAGAAACAATTATCCGGTTAAGTCTAATGCTACCCTTGAACGTTAAATGGTGTCATTTCCCTATTGGTCGTTTCCCTACTGATCAATATTTATTTCGCGTGTCATTTTCCTATTGGTCAATATTATTTAACGTGTCATCTTTCTGTTGGTCAATATTTATAGTAATCCTAACTGTATAAATATGCATTTGTTTGTAAATCATTATTCTGCTGCTCCTGACCCCATAAACGATTTTCATCTACGGTTCGTGTTCTGATATATTGGAGATTGGGAACAGTATTGGGGTCGAACTGGGATATCTGAAGCTTGTCAATTGGTAGAATTTAGAGTAGCCAACTCGCGATTCACAATAGATACGTAACTCAATAATTATATAATGACATATCAATTATAAACTAACATTGAGTGATTGGAAGAAAGAGGATCATAATAATCAATAATCACGCTAGACCGATAAGTCCTGGGTTCGAATCCCGCAAGGCTGGATCGTAAATGCTCAGCAATGAAAAGTCCCATACTAAGACGAAACGGCTGTTCAGCACTCTTAGGTTTTCCATGGTGGTGTAACTTTAATCCATTCATGAATTCAACCATTAACTGATCAAAGTAATTATTCGAAGATCAATCAGTTGCTACGTTGCATAATATAGAAAAGAGAAGAAGGAACTAATAGAATATTTTGTTGAATAATCAATAGTATAGTCGTCATGTAAGAATCAAGAGACGAATGTTAAAAATAAATAAAATACAAAAAGTTGAAGGAATACGATAATAGTATATCAAAGTTCTGCTTTAAACCCTCCTATACCGATAGTCAAAGTAGAGAGAGTGGTTGTAGAAAGTTATTTTAGATGCGAAGGTTCCGTTTGTGAACACGGATTGAAATAAATTTAGCTATGTGCACAAGATGTTCACGTATACTATGTGGCAAATTTGATGGAATACGGTGGATAACCTTAAAAGTTTTATTGAAATTCAACTTGATGACTTGTGTTCATTAAGTGAGTGAGAATAGAACTGTTAATCACTCTTATCTATCTTTTACTCAAACACAACGGATGGTGTCCTGTTATACGATGACGAACTTGCTGAGTTGTACGCCCCATATATATATAGTATAGAGCCATAGTGAAAAACTAATCGGTGAGAGTATAATTTATGGACGAACCAATCACGTATAAGATAATGGGTCTCGGATATTGGTGTGACGTTCACATTTGGATAAATAGAATTTTGGTATTATAGATAATGTCAATTCGTAGTGAAAACCCTAAATCTTATTCCTGACCTTAACCGTCAACTGTAAATCACAATTTGAGGTCTTCACACAGGTTTGGTGTTACTTATTAGGTGAATACTCTAAAGGTCAGTCTAGCATCTCTCAACGGTGGTTGTCCATACATTATAGTCTCACAGTAACTTCTTCACTCGATTCTTTCCTTCTTTATTTACCAAATGTCTAATTGAGAATTTTCATTATAAAATAAATCAACTATCATTTACCACTATTTACATCAAATAAATAGACTGAAATTAAATGTAATTTCAATTGGTCATTTTTTAACAGTCTACTTACTTAGTAACCAAACAAAATGAAGCAAGTTGACATGACAACAACATTGAATATAGTTCTAACCAATCAATGAACTGCTTTAATTTAATAATAAGTTTTAAGCACTGTTTCCATTTCATGTAAAAAAAATTACAAAAATAAACCAATGATTAGTTACTATTCAATAACCAATCAAATCTATTTGTACAATGGGCATTGCATAATAATAATAATAATAATAGCAGCAATGGTAGTAGTTAGGCAAACCAAAACATTTCATGAAAACAACAACAATACCCCCCCTCCCGGCCTCATAGACACATACACACACACACACACACATACTCACCAATGGCATTCGAAATGATCAATTGAAGAAATCATGAAATGATTAATAATTATTGAATAAAAATTCATTCATCATTTCATTAATTATTATTGAATTCAATTCATTATTATTTTTTTTTATTTTAGAAAAAAAAATCGATGATGACTATTGATCTGATCATAAATAATAATCAATTAGAATTATGTAATAATTTACATGAAAGAGATCATGTCTCATTTATACAATCGATTATATCAGTGATCTTATTAAGTGTTCTATGTTTATTAGGTATTATTGGAAATAGTTTAGTAATTATTGTTTATTGTATTAAACCTAAACATTATACTAATCGTTATATAATGAATCAGCATACAATCATCAATAGTAACCATAGTAACAATAATAATGCCTTGGATACTAAAATGACAAAAAAATTTGGCACTCATTCAATTTCATATAAATTACCATTATATAAAAATAAATTAAATCAACATAATTTAATATTATTATTGGCATTTATTGATTTATTCACATGTGTTTTTATATTACCATGGGATATATATCGTGTTGCTAATTATGCCTATGATGAAACTATGCCTATCTTATCTATAAATGATAATCATCATCTGAATGAGAATAATTCTTCTGGAAACCATATTGATATAAATTCTAATAAAAGATTCTATATAAATTATCAATTAAATATAATATTAACATTATTACGTAATATTATATTTGCATGTGAAGGTAGTGTATTAACCGCCATTGCATTTGAACGTTATATAATACTTGTTAAACAAGATCTATGTAAATTCTCTCTATGTTGTCATCATTTATTGACTACTACTAATAATGATAATGATCATATCACTTCATTCATTCATAAGACTCCATCAATTCATCATACAAATCATTCGAATGAATTAACAAGATCATCAACAACATTGATGTATAGCACTAATGTGAAAGATAAGCATCATTCATACTGTTCATTGAATAGATCTATTACATCTATATTGATTTTAGTCATTATTGGTACATGTTTATTTGAATGTTTATTAATTATAATGGAATTAATGAAATGGAATTGTCATTTGATTGAACAATTACGTGAATTCATTAATCAAATTTATATTCTATTAACATTTATCTCATTTATTATTATTGCATATTTATATGTAAGTATATTTAGAATAGTTAGACAAAATGATTTAAGGAAACAACGATGGTTAACGACTATTCATCATCATCATCATCATCATCATAATACAAATTATAGATCAATGAAGTTGTTGAATAAATCCAATTCATTCTTACAATCATCTATCTCTAATAATAATAATGAAATAGAATCAATATTAAAGGTAACAAATCAACATGACACTAAAATACATCATTGTGATACTGTACAATCTAGAAGATATGGATTATCATTTAGATTAATGAAACAATTAAGTTGTGATCAAGTGATTACCAGACAACCATCACCACCACCACAACAACAACAAGAACCACTACCACCACCACCACCAGCACAACAACAACAATGGAATATATTAAAAAGACGTATTCTATTCAAAACATCATCTATATCAACATTATTTGAACATTCAAAAGCTAAACAGGAATCTAATAAATCTATGATATCAAAACATAATAATCAATCTATTGGAACAACAACAACAACAACAGTATCGTCTTCAATATCTCCATTATCTGTAAATCGTTTATTATCTAAACGTGTAACACGTAGTCATCGTACAGGTTTAATGATATTTATTTCTACTGTCATATTTTATGCTACATTATTTCCTGTTTTATGGGTACATTTTAAATTTTGGTGGAAATATACCACTACTATCCCTACCGTCGCCATGACCACCACTATCCCTACCGCCGCCATTATGAATGACTCTACGAATCAATTATATAATAGAACAAAATTGATTCATAATAATCAAGAGAATGATGGAAGTTTTATGACAACTGTACATCATGAATTTTATTATGTTAATAATGCTGTGAATTTTTTTATTTATTCATTATTTAATCAAAGTTTTCGTGAAAGATTAAAACGTTTACTTGCGAAATATTGAATATTGAATAAGGATTAAAACAAAATTAATGAAGGATTATTCTTATTATTGTGTTTTATATATTGACATATTGAAAAGAAGCAAACAAATGAACAAACAAATCATTCAATCATTTTTGGTTAGTTCATTTTTCTTCTTTTTCTTCTTCTTCTCTAACATAACTACTCATAAATATGATTATATAAGTAGTTAATTTAGATTGAATAAAAAAATGGTTGATTGATATTGGATGACTAATATACTGAGATGTTTGTTTGGTTAACGTTGTCTTTTTAATTTTAATAAAGATTTACTTTTCTATAAGATGAAGTCATTAACCTAATATTCAATTATCCAGATATGAAATCGACAATAGCTTAAAAAAGGACTTCCAGTGGAGAAGAATCGATACAACAATTGGATAGAATTATGAAGGAAGGTATAGGATAGAGTGGATCGGACAATATTGATTGATTGCTTATACTCTATTAGGAGTAACAGGCATAAAGAAATGAATGAATGAATAGTGAGATTTTGACTGATATCAAACTAGACTAATGATCGGGGATCAATTTTTTTGGGATCATTAATGCTTGTTATGTAATTTTTTAGTTGTGATCATTTGGATTTCTTATTATTTTTTAGTAAAATATTAAATATCAGTAAACATTTTACCTGATCAAAATGTACATGTGAATGAAGAAGTTCATGGCTTGTTAAATTATTAGTGCGATGATTGTAAGTGATTCGACACCATTTTCAACAAGTTATTATTATTATTAGCTTTATTCAATATTATAATTTTGGTACAATATAGAATTCTCAGCGTAAAGTATTTCAACAAGTTTGCGTTTCTTTCTTCTTGGTCGGTCCTGGCGATAAATATTGAGGAATCGCCAGTTAGATGTTAGCACTTCAGTGAATGAACAACTGAATAATGTACATTCTTTTCGTTGTACATTGCCAGCAACCATATTGTCTCTTATTGAGTTTTCTGTAACTTTGACAACGAAAGGTTGTACACTTTTCAGAAACACAGCAGAATAGGTTATGCGATTAATAAACCTAATGATATATTAAAACAAACAACAATAGATAACTTGTTGAAATATCTAGATGGCAGGAACAGGTAGCCCAGATGCTCAAGCAGGCCGCCCCTTGGTTGACTTTGACTAAAGTATCATTGTAAACCATAAAGTACTACATAACCCTTTCATCTTGATAATGGAATAACTCATTAATATTCATCCATAAATACACTTCAATGTAATACCGAAACATTCAAATCTCATAGTAAGCGCCTAAATGTTACATCACTAGGATGTAATACAATAGTAAATAATTACAGTTTACATTAATTCATACAGTAGCATGAATATTATTCAAAATAACTGATGATAACTATTCTTCTCTTGACATTTCTAAACGATTCATTGGAAATTTAAGGACTCTTCTCAAAACAATTTATTATTGATCATGATTATATTATTCATGAATGGATTTCTTTGTGTTAATTTGTGAGACAGTAATTCATTGATGACAGTGGTGGATGTTTTGCTTAATTAGTTGAGGTTAAACATCAATATCGTTGGATGCCGATTCAGTAGTCTAATGGCTAAGTGCTTGCGCGCGAGACTGACAGGTCCTGGGTTCGAATCCCTTGGGGCGGTGTCGTGGATGCGCACTGTTGAGGAGCTTCACAATAGGACGAAACTGCCTTCCAGTGCTTCCAGGTTTTCCATGATGATCTAGCTCTAATTGACTCATGATCTCAACTATTGAAATTACTAGAAATATTTGTTGATGAATTTTAGTTAGAAATCATTATCAGTCGAGTTCAGTCATGTTAACCAAAACTTAATTATCAAAGATGATAACAAATATCAGTTAAAAACATTCTATACCAGATTTTTATTCACTCATTGATTCATAACAAATTCAACTAGTAATATGAAGTAATGAAGTCTCTACTGTTCTTTAGTATCCAGTAGTTTTTCCAATCGTTATCAATTTTTTTTCTAAAAACACTAACTGTCTTGTTCCACTAAACCGAAGAGTACTTACTTACTTTCGCCTGTTACACTCAATGGATCATAGGCCGACGGCCAGCACTCTCCATCCAACCCTATCCTTGGCAAACTTTTCCATTTCTATCCAATTGTTGTTCATTCTTCTCATGTCTGTCTTCATTCCTCACAGTAATATATTCTTTGGTTTTCCTCATTTCCTTTGGCGTTATGGATTCTAAGTAAGAGATTGCCTTGTGACACAGTTCGGTGCTTTCCTCAATATGTATCCTATCCACTTCCATCGTTTCTTTCTGATCTATTCCTCCGCTGGGATCTGGTTTGTTCTCAAACCGAAAAGTATCTTCAATTAAACATTCATTTAGCTAAACATTTCTATTTAATCAATTACGACTCACAATGCTATAGATCTGAACAATACTTAAAGAAATATCAGATTTTTTTTTTTTAAATATCAACACCGTTTGATGATGATTACGTAACTATAAAAGAAGAAAGATTCTAGCTGAATAGTATGAATTCATTTCATTTCGTTTGGTTCTCATCAGTTGCTTACAACTTGGGATATTTAAACATCATAATTACATAATGGGTTTAAATTACTTACATGAAAGAGTTTGGTTAGAAGTGATATTGAAGACACATAAGTATCGTATACTAAGGGGTGTAAATAAACTTAATAGACTGAATATTGTATCTTATTTGAAAGACACTCCCACAACATTGTTTGTAACAACAATTCAAACGCTTAGAAACAAGTGATTACATAATGAGTATCATTATTATTATTATTATTAAAAGCTTTATTCAACATTATATTTTTGATACAACATAGAATTCTCAGCATAAAGTATTTCAACAAGTTTCCTTTTCAAATGATCACCAGTTAGATGTTAGGAGTTCGGTAATCCACATTTGATTAATGTTCATTCGTTTCAATGCATATTGCCAGCCGCCATAATGTCGCTGATTGTACCTTTTTGTATCCCGTATAGTGAAAGGTTGTAAACTTTCCATAAACGCGCCTGAATAGATTGTGAACACAATAGACATAATGATGTGCTGAAACAAACAACAAAACACATAACTTGATGAAATATCTAGATCGGAAGAACAGGTAGCCCAGATATTCAAGCAGGCCGCCGCGTTCTATGATTATCCCATATCCAAATGAATAATCCGAAAAAATGGCCAGGTTAAGGGCAAAGTACATCGTTTGAAACATGTGAATTTAGGATTGCGATAAGCAAACTACAATAAAATTCTTAATGTTAATGTTAACTTGAATTTGCGTGTATGTTAAGTGAAATTTTTTTCAAGATCCATGATCCGAATAAATATGGATCAAATAGGGTTAGAGAGATAGAGAGAAATAATAGTGCAATTACAATTCGATCAAATAAGTAAGACGTAATACGGATGGATGAATGTGAAGTGAATGAATCATGTATAAGGGAGATTAATGATGATGTTTAAACAATAAGCTATGCCCTTAACCTGGCTAATATTTGGATTATAAGAATGAGTTTTGTGGAAATTTTTAGGAAATTTCACAAGTTGAAATCATGAGTCAATTGAAGCTAGACCACCATGGAAAACCTGGAAGCACTGGACGGCCGTTCCGTCCTAGTATGGGACTCCTCAGCAGTGCGCATCCACGAACCCGCACACCGCGGGATTCGAACCCAGGACCTACTGGCTTCGCTCGAGAGGACTTAGCCATTAGACCACTGAGCCGGCATCTAACGGTGTAATATTTGGATTAACAATTTGGATATGTGGTAATTGTAGAACCTGAAGAGAATTTATCGAAAAGAATATTCTTCATTCAAATATTAGTCACTGAATATGATGAGGATCTTTAAACGATAATTCTGATTATCAAAATATCACAGATTGTAAGTAGTTGATGAGAATTAGACGAAATAAACATGAATTTATGCTAATCTACTAGAATCTTTATTCTTACTCTTAGAAAAATAATAAAAGGGAATTTAAAGCAATTAGTCTCTATGATAATGTAATAAAAAGATGGAGACTATCAGAACTATGTGATGATGTATATATTAGCGCAATACATTTCGAACAATCTAATCACACTTAATATACTTGTTAAGAACATTTATCTATATAAAGAAGAAATAAATGATCTTTGATTGAGATCATGAACTGATTGATGTTAGACCACTATTGATAATGTGGAAGTACTGGACAGCTGTTTGGTCCTATTGTAGGACGAATAACCCCTTCTATGACAATTTTAAAAATTATACTTCTATATATCACTGACTACTATTTGGTTAAATCTAGACATTAACACCATTGAACACCGGCTCAGTAGTCTATATGTTAAGTGTTCGTACACGAGACCGGTTCTTGGTTCGAGTTCTGCTATCGGTATCATGGGTATTCACTGCTAAGGAACGCCATAATAGTTTAGCGGTTACATTTATTTCTTCATGCTTCATATTATGATTGTCTAAATGCCAATGTAGTCGCCTATTTCTTCAAAGAGTAAACAAAGAGGAAACATACAAACAATTAAGATGGTTAACTTAGTATTTTCTAGTATTTAGTATCATTATAAGTTGTAAGTTTTTTTTAAATAAAACGAATCAGTGTATATAGTTGAGAAATAAGGACTTCATAAGTTTCTGCAGCTTACTGTAAATATGAAGTGATATTTGGATGAAGATTAACATTATGGACTGGCTAATAACTAAACAAGGTAAAACTGTTTTGTCTCAGTGTAAGACCTTTAAACATGACTCATTTACAATACGGTCATAGATCAAACTAGAACCTTCTGTCTCGTGGTAAGTACAGTCATCATAGACCTTTCATCCAAATAACTTTTTTACAGCATTTCAACATTATACTTTATATCCAGTTAGAAACAAGGTACTAAGTCAGAAAGTTGTTCACAATTGATGCCATATTCCTAAGACATTACTTGAAAATTAAAAGTAGTTCAGTCCATGCTAAGTATGATAT